TAGTTTGAACCTCAAAGTCAGCAGTTCAAGCTCACCAGCAGCTCCTCGGAAGCCCTATACAGGGTCGCTATAAGTGAGAACCAACTGGATTGTGCACAACAACATCACAGTCATGTTATAAAAAAGGCTAAAATAAAGGTGATTTAAGAAAAGTGATAGTCTTTTATAGAAACAACAACAAAAAAAGTGAGTGGATACACTTTTCTTTCTAGGTGGGATTTTCTACAGACTGTGGTAGAGACTTTGTCTTTGGTACCCTCTTGTGGTCAGTGGAAGACATTGTTTGGTTTGGCCTCATTTTAAATAATAGAGTGTGTTTTACTTTTTTATCTGCTTGATATGCCTAAAATAGTTATACGTATCTGACAGTTTTTCCTATAAACAACTTCAAGAGCAAGGTTGACACTTGGCGTTTGAGCTTCCTTTCACTTCGCACTGGAGTGTGTACAATGAAGCCGTGGCAGGACCACAGAAGCTAATCTTAGAAGCTGAGTGATAGATCATGTGATCACTGGGCTCAGAGTGAATGTAGCGTAGCTTTAAAAGCAAACTGACTGTAGACCAGGAACACAGTTTACTCTTTTGTCAACTATCACTGGATTTGGAAACTAATTTGCAATTTCTGATGATCTGTTTTATACAATTGTGCTCTGTGTGCTTCTGTGTCTGTCTCTCTCCGTCAAACTGCCTTCGTCTGTCTGCATAGGCACATAACTACAAGTATCATACTAAAAAAAAAACCTACTGCATTATAATGTGTTTATCTAATTATCTGTATTCCCCTTATTTTTTCCCATAATTATGATTATTTCAATTGTATTTCTTTTACTTGATTACCTAATTCAAATGCATTTGCTATGGATTTCTAGGGTAAGAAAAAATAATTATAATCTCCAGTGCCTTTTTTTCTTTAAATCATGCCATGGCACTAAGAAGACAGTGATTAGGCACATAGGCACAGCAATTAGTGCAGATCCATAGGTTATTTTTTCCTCTCTTGGATTTTTTTTTTTTTTAAACAAAACAGTGTCCTGTCCCCAACAAGAGACAGTAAGTAGCATATGGTGATAAGTTACTAAGGCCAAATAAGCCTTGACTTCTATGAGCAGTAAATCAGGAGGTCCTGGTGTGGTGCTATAGACTAAGCACTGGACCACAAGGTTGCTTGAACCACAAGATTAGCAGTTCAAACTCACCAGTCGTTCCTTGGAAACCCTATGTAGAGTAGCTGTGAATCAAAGCAGACTCATTAGCACTTAACAACAACAGTCTTGAGTGGAAAGGAGCCCTAGTGGCACTGTAGGATAAGCAGTGGATTACTAACTACAAGGTGAACAGTTCAAACCCACCAATGAGTCCACAGGAGAAAGGTGATGCTGTCTGATCCCATAAAGGTTCACAGTCTCGGAAGTCCTGTAAAGGGTTGCTATGAGTCACAGTTGACTCGGTGGCAGTAGAATACATCTTTACGGAAGCAGATTGCCACATCTTTTTTCCACAGAGTAGCTGGTGGGTTTGAACCATTCAC